GTGGAACTCGATAGCTGCCGGCGGCACGGGCGCCAGCTCGATACGCGGCGCATATGTTGTCCATGGAGGACGAAGCGGACGTGGCCGGCAAGAGCGTTGCCGAGGCGACTACGACGACGACCACACACGAGAGGTTCGGTGGCAAGTCAAGATTGCATGCGAGCCAAACCATAGTTGCATGTGCATGGTTTCTAGAGCCCGATGCCGAACAAGGAGCTGGTGCTTCCAAGGAACCGGGAGCCTTGCCAAATTGCTATCACATTGACACCATTTTCTTTACCAGAGGCAGAGGCGGGCAGAGCTCTACGAAAGGAGCTTCGTGAACCACGCCGGGCTGAACTTCCTCGTGGCTGGCTGCTGGCTGGTGCTGCTGCCGAACAGTACCTCAACGATGCATGTGGTTTGGGTGGGATGACCTGAGCAACATGCGATGGCAGAAAGGTGGGCGGAGGAACTATGTCGACCTGGCACTCGCAACCTTCAAAACCGCCTGGAAAACCACTCTGATCGGTGCTAGGGGGTGATTCACCTGGTATAGGAAAGAACAGGGGGTTAAATACCCGGTTTTAGACCTGAGGGGGTAAATGGGCCAGTTTGTGAAATCCTAGGGGGTTAAGTGGACTTCTTTCGTACCATGGCATGCCAATTGTTTGGATAGATCAAAAGGCAAGCTAAAGATCAATTAGATAAATGCTACTGTACTCGCACATCTCACATCTCGTTTAGCTTTATACATACCTTGAATCAGCATTTCTTGAAAACATATTTATGCAGTCACACATCTCACCTTGTTTTTTTTAAATTTTGCTTGGTTGGAACTATATACATTTGTGTTGTCTAATTTGTAATGCTCGCTTATTGAATTTGCAGCATTTGAGTCCTCCTCAGAAGAGAAACATGGTATTAGCTAGTGCCAAAAATGCCAACACAACTTGGCCATGCTGCTATCAACTTGCCTTGGTCCAATACTTGCAAGCTTCTTCATCTATAACAAACATCAATCCTGGGAGCACTAGTTAAAGAGTTGGTGTTCTATAGTCTAGCAAAAAGATATAGAGGAAGTTATTGCCACTACTCCTACCAGAAGATTAAGTTTAAGAAGAAAATTTCTTGTTCTGGCTGCTGATTAATTGCCACTGAACTTATCCACATGTTAATGTCATAATTGTTATTGCTCTGCTACTTAGTTGCCAGTACATTTTCTGTTTTCGAAAGAGCCCAAAATTTACACATCTATGTTATACATGTCTCTGCCGGTGTCTCTTGTGGATGCATTTCTTGAACTATATATGTCTTATGAATGCATCTCTCAGCTGGAGCATCCATGTTAAATTTGAGTTCAAAATTATCAGTTAGTGAGAAGCATGACTATAGGAGTAGCATGCATAATCATTTCAAATTGTATGGGACGAGGCACAGCCTCTGAATGAATCACAAGTCCCAAGTCATTGCTCCCCTATCAAAAATAAGCGTAATGTTGAAAGAAGTAAGAAAGAGACTACTAAGTCTGAACCTCAAATTAAACACGTCACATTGTCAAATATTTCATTGGGGCAATTTTAAACAGATCACAAAGTACATCTCAATTGATGATAAAAATGTCAGCAAACACAAAGAAGATCAGCAGACATAGCACATGCGTTTTCTGCCTAAAGAGAACACTCATGTCGCCATGTATTTCAGTATTTGTTATCTTTGCTACTGGCCGATAAGTCATCCTCATTGTCGAGGGAGGTGGCGCGGAGAAACACGCCAAGCCATTCCCCGGTCCGCCATGGATGATGTCCTTGTGGTCCGAGAAGGTAGGCAACATACACGTTGTGAACATGTCCAGCTAAAACGGAGGGCCACTATGGTTTTTCCTATGGGAGTTGATCGGAAGCTCTTTTTTTCTCACTTATATAAACAGATTTTTTTTGGGTGACTTATATAAACAGATGATAGAGAGGGATCTATGGTAGGGCAGAGCTCATGCAGGTAGTACGTATTTTGAAAGAAATGTTCTAGAAAAGAAGGGATTTAATAGGGTGGGTCCAGGCAGTTTGCATGTCCAAAATGACCCAGTAGATTCATATCCCGGCTGTACGTCGGGTATTTTTACATCAATAATTTTTTTTGTTGTTATTATGGCCACTTCTGTTATCCGGTTTGGTTCTCGTCTTCACGACGTAACTTACCCCACCGAGGTTGTAAAATTACCTCACATCTTTGTTTTCCAAGGTGGTTTTGGCGCGGGACCGATTCATTTTTCTATGCCATAATTTTACCTCCCGAGCTGCTTCTTTCTTGTGGTCTGGGTGTGGTGCAAGTGGTCCGGCTGGGGCGAGGAATAACTATTTCTCTTCCTGGATGACGAATAGCGTATATATAGATCATGTGTCAAATAAATAATCAAGTTAGAACGTGAAGGTAATCATATTGAATTAAATATTACTATGAATAGTAAAGTACTATATATATATATATATATACATATATATATATATATATAGGAAAATGGTTGTGTACTCTTGGAAGTACGTACTCTCACTCCTCATATACCACATAGATCAATCTTTTATACCTCTTTATTATTTTTAATATACTTTATTAATAATTATTAGATACTCAAAATGAGTTTCATGAAAAAATTCATATGAGTCTACATATTTTGAAATATTTACGTATATACTGATGTGTTTGTACGTGAAAAATGTATATTACAAAAAGTACGTCGTAGATGATATTTTTTCAAAAAAACTCGTATTGGAGTATCTTAAAATATTTAATAAAGTATATTAAGAATAATAAAGAGGTATAATTAATGCGTATATGAGGTATATTGAGGATGAAGTACATACTCTCGGGAGTACAGTTTTCTTAATTTTGCAAACAATATTCTCCGTATATTGAAGAAATGTTCATGCAGCTCAAAAAAGTGTCTGCACATTTGAAAAAAAAATCATGACATTTTTCTAAAAAATATATGATTGAAAATATGTAGTGCCATTGAAAAAAGAAGTCCACAAGTGTTCATTGATGCAATTAAAAAAATATTAATGGCATAGTAACAAGTGTTCATAGCCTTTAAAAATGCTTGTAGCATTTACACCTTTTTAATGTTCGTAAAAATTTAGAACAACATTCACGCAATTTTCAAAAAACAATCATAACATGTAAAAAAGTTGTTGGTAACTATTTAAAAGAATTGTTCATGAAAATGTAATAATTTGTTCATGCGACTTTTCAAATTGTTCATGACATATAAAAACAATGTCCAGAACCACTGAAAGAAATGTTCACAACATCTACAAATGTTTAAAGAGTGATGTTCGTTAAAATGTAAAACATTATTCACGCTATTTTTGAAAAATGTTCATTACATATTAAGAAATGTTGACTCTCTTTATACAAAATAAAGTGAGAAAAATAAAACAAATAAAAAACGAAACAGGAAAACAAACAGGAAAATATGAAAAGAAATAAGAGGAAAATGCAATAAAAATGAAAGAAAAATAAAAGCGGATGGAGATTTCTAAAACCGCTCTCCTAGGAAGGTTACAAATCTCTCCGATCCGGTATGTAGAAGATTCCTAAAACTGCTTGATGGGCCTGCCCGGACGATCCGGTACAAAGAAGATTCCTAAAGTGCTACTTGGGCCGACTCTAAGCTTGGGGATAACGAGCGCTCCTTCGTGAGCCTCGCAACGATCAGCGCCATTTGGCGCGCTTTCAGCTATTCGCCACGTGTCGCGCTTTGGATGTTCTTTTTGGATTTTGTTTTTTTATTTTTCTGCGCTCATTTTCGGCTTTTTAAATAGTTTTTTTCAGGTTTTTTCGACGTTTTGGTTTTCTCCCGGTCTTCCTTAGCTTTTTGATCAAAAAAATATTTTGCACGAAAAAAATACGTTTTCTTTTTTCTTCCTTTCGTGAAAGTCATGGTTTTTTTTCGCAAGAGGCACGGTTGTGCTTTAGCGAGAGTCACGGCCGTGCCTTTCGGAAAAGGAAAAAAACGCGTTTTCTGTTTTTTTTTTCTTTCGCGAGAGTCACGGTTTTGCTTCCGCGAGAGGCACGGTTGTACTTTCACGAGAGTCATGGCCGTGCCTCTCGGAAAGGGAAAAACAAAACACATTTTTTGTTTTTTTTCTTTCGCGAGAGTCACGGTTTTGCTTCCGCGAGAGACACGGTTGTGCTTTCGTGAGAGTCACGGCCGTGCCTCTCAGAAAGGGAAATAATACGCGTTTTCTGTTCTTTTTTCTTTCGCGAGAGTCACGGTCGTGCCTCTCGGAAACGGAAAAAAAACGCGTTTTCTGTTTTTTTTTCCTTTCACGAGAGTCACGGTTACAAGAGGCACGGGTGTGATTTCGCGAGAGGCACGGGCGCGCCTCTTTCGAAAAGGAAAAAAACCGTGCTCCCGGTTCGGTTTTTTTGCCCGGTTTTTTTTCAGGTTTTTTTAATGAAAAAAAATCGTCAAAACCTATCAACATCGGATCTAGTGTTGAAGATCTCGACGCGAGGAATCCAATAAGGTTCGAGATTTGGACACACGGTTTAAAAGATAAAACGTTTTGAATAAACGGATCTACGAAAAAAGGGAAAATCCCAGATTGCGACAAGTGGCGCGCTGCACTTGTCGCAACCTGAGAAAGTGGAGTGTTCTTTGCAACGATTACTTCTTAATTAGTGATTTCGACATTTTCAAGCTTTGCTTGTGCAACGAGTTCTTTTTTCAACTTTATCACTAGTGCCTTTCACAAGGCTATCACCTGACTGTCACACGAACAGAAGAAACTCGAGTCAATATTAAGGGCGGAAGAAGCTACAACCAAGGGTGGCCAACCAGAACCCCGCAGAAATTTACGGCTAACTTTCACTCGCAGTGCAGTCCTGTGCTCTCTACCACAACTAGTTAACCGCTTTCTTCCCAAGCGCGAACAGGATCTTCTTTTATAGCCTCTCCAGTCATCGTCTCTCCTCTTTAGCCCACGTACACCCTGCTCCTCTCCTTCCAACACCCACCAATGTTACTACGCCTCCTCGCGCTGATCTTTGCCGCCGTCTTGGCGGCGTCCTCGAGCTCCATCGATGCCCGTGCTATCCACCCTATCTTCCTTCCCTTCGGCGACAATGGCCGTCGCCTGATCGGCATCCAGAGGTGCGAAGAATGCTTCGGCATATGTCAAGAGGTACATACATATACATACAGTGAATGAATCTACAACGTGCGTGCTCTGCAGATCAAACATCCTTACGAATACGTTCGCGTGTCTGCCATTTGTGCGTGCGTGCAGGTGCACTACAGGACGCTGTGTAGCACGCTGGCGACGCTGCCCGGGGTGACGACCCCGCAGCAGCTCCTGGACACGGCCCTGCGGGTGACGGCGGCCAAGTCGGCGATGGCGGAGATGCGGCTGGACGAGGCGATGAGGGCAGGCCTGGGCAACACCATCCCGATGATGTCGTCGCTGCAGTCGTGCAGGGACAGCTACGCGTCGCTGACGGACTCACTGGGGAAGTCGCGGGCGACGCTCAAGAAGGGGGGCAGCCGCGACGACCTCATGTCGGAGCTGTCTGCGGCCAGCACCTACTCCACCGACTGCCGGGACATCTTCGGCGAGCGCCCGGGGCTCAAGTCGCCGATACGCGGCGCGCAGCGCCACATCACGCGCCTCGTCAGCAACTGCCTCGACCTGGCTACCGCCATCAGGCAGCCCTGAGCGGTGGATCCGACGATGCAGGCCAGCTTCCGGTTCTGTGCACCTGACGTTTCTTGGACACCATTCAGATTTTGGCATGTGGTAGTTTTATTATTTTCCGTATTACGTGTATTTTAGTGTAGTGTGTAGATTTGTCATCTAGGATGGGTATTGCGTTTCATAGATAACCTGTGGATAGAGAAAAAATGTCTTTAGTTGACGCCGGTCTATTCTGTACTCAGAACAAGTTATGTTTGTCGGAATGGATCTTCTTTTTTTCGTTCAGCTTATACATGATCAAATTCCCCCTTGAAAAGATGCAGCATTTGCAATAGTCTCTGACTCGGTTACGTACAGATTGCAAGTATACTCATGAGGCCCAACCAACCACGCAACACCAGCCTTTGCGTTGTACTCCCTCTGTCCCAAATTACTTATCGCATAAATAAATAGAAATAGATGTATCTAAAACTAAAAATATGTCTAGATACGTCCATTTCTGCGACAAGTAATTCCGGACGGAGGGTATAACTTGTCGGATGAAGGATGAGCCAGAGAGGCAAACAACTTGTGCTTTCCAAATCTCCTCGATGAACGAGCGACTCCAACAGACGCCTAAAAAGAGCTCCGCGCACTAAAAGTTCGTTTTTTTTGGGCGCCCAACAGCTCCAGCAAATGCTGTAGCGCTAAAAAGTTTTGGGCGCGAGCTGAAAAACGCTATCGCGCGCAGCATATTTTGGGCTTCAGATTGGGCGCGCTTCACAATTTGCACTGTCTGCTTTTTAGGCGTGCGTCTTTAGGCGTCTGCTAAAGCAATATTGGTCCCGACGCACTAAAATGCTACAGTGCCACGCTATAAATTTTATTGGGCGCGAGATTTTTATGCGGCCGTTGGAGATGCTCTGGGAGGACTCGCAGCGCTTCCAAATCTCCGTGGTCTGGCACGCCATGGAGAAGACGAAGAGCCCGGGTCATGCCATCTTGCCCTTGCTCTCTCTCTTGTGAAGAATTTCATGCACCTGCGTTGGGTTGGGGCCGGGTTCGAGCAGGATCTCTCGTTGCAGTCCCGCATATTTATCTCCCGGAGACGGCTTTGCAGAATTTACAGGTGCGAGCCAGCACAGCACAGCATCTGCACGATTGGATGTCTAAACAGTTAACATGCAAGTGAGGATGAGGTTTCAGCGGCGGGCAGTCTGCCTATCCCGCACACACCAACCAGGCGGAAGTGGCGCACCGAAAGGCAGCACCAGCATCCACGAGGAGGCGATCATGCCAAGGTCTCATTAGCCGCATGGAGGATCGCGTTGAGCTCCACACAACAGCCACCAGCTGCTTTTTGTTTTATTTTCTCCGTCCACCATTCTATAGACTATAGAAATGCCTCGAATAGTTTCAACCCAAACTTCAAAAGCAATATTCATGTATGACAAGTGCTCATTTGTCACAAATCAGCTCTATATTTCACTGTGGCACAAAAGGAAATAAAAACAAATTTGTCACCAAAAATAATAACAATAAATCAATTATGATACAAGTTAACTCGTCCAAAGGAAAAAAGCAGTGTTCTTCTTTCTCAAAACTGTACTTGATGTGTAAATTACAGTGACAAGCCACAAAAAAAACCTTGCGCGCTACAGCTTTTTGGGAGATGACTTCCATGTTCATTTCCCAATTCATCTATACGCTGTAGCGAGCAAGAACTATGTATTCCAAAAGCCTCACAGCTTCATTGGTGTCTTCCTTTTCTAGTAGCCACACCACAGGAAACTCATATAAGTCTCAGTTCGTATTCACCTGCCATGGTAATGTATCTAACCCACGGAAGCGCCTGGTACCCACTCTTTTCAATGATCTTTAGATAGCGAACCTGTAAAACACATTGTGCATACTTTTTACTCGAGGTGCCAGAGAAAAACATACAATAGTACCTGTGATGATATAACAAACTCGTAACAAAGCTAGTCTCGTCACCTGAATACCCGATACAGTGAAATATGGTATTTCAAATTTCACTCGTATCGGTGCCTTCTTTTCAGGGACTGCTTCTTCCGCACTTATACTTGGTAGACTAAACTCCGCTCTGCACATGTACTCCTAAGAGAGCAAGCAAGTTCATGACATTAGCACACTTCGACTAGCAACACAGGAGCCAATGGATTCATTTGAAATCGGCCATACTCACTTTGCCACCAGGAAATGATTTTACTTTCCAGACCATTGCATCTCTCTCAGGTGCATATGCAGCAGAACCCATTGAAGTTCTTATATTTGGGTTTGTGGCATCTGAAGGAACAGGAACTTCAATTTCAACATTTGTTGCTGTGCTGCAAATGAAGAGGGAAAAAAACATGACTTTCAAAAGGCACCAGTGTAACACAAGCAAGCCAATTTTTGTTACGGACGCAGCACCTTCTTTCCTTAAACTGACTTCTTGCCTTAATCATCAATTCTATCCGGCTTCTTGAATGTTTTTCAACCTGGGCTTCCACCCAGATAAGAGGTTTCACCTGAATGGCATAAAAGGTGCGCAGGCACATGAGAATGAGACAAGAAAAACAATGAACTTCAAGTATATATGAAGTCTCTTGTAGTTCTAAAGCACAATCAGGAAGAAAAACCTGAGTGTTGAGCCTGTATGTCATCAGATCAAAAGATCCATCTGGAGGGATGAATGATATCGTCCTATCATTCTCAAATCTGGCCAATCGCACACACCTTGTAGCAAAATAGAGAATGGTCATGCAGAAGTTCTGGTGTAATAGACTTGATGGGGAAAAGGAAATACTATTGCTTACTGATGAAATTTGATATCATCAAGATCTATTGCCTTCCCTTTAGTTGCTCGCCCCTGAGCCTCCAAAAGAACCTTGTCATTCAACCCGAGTTTGCACTCGGGCATTCCACTGTTTCAAATCAGTATTAGTGGGGTCATGGATGTGTATCTGAATACAAGGAAACATACTAACATAGATAACAAATATATTTAGATGGTACAAAAGCTTGTCATCAGGAAAATAAATAGGAAACAACAAAGTCTAGCAATCTATAAAGCACTGTCATTTCTGATATACTAATTTCACAATGAGCTTGATATTCCAGTTATGCTTCACATTTCAAAAGAATCAAGGTTTGAATTGGCAATGTGAAGCAATATCAATGTTCAGAGTGTAAATGATTTGTGCTGCCTTAAATTTCTTTTTGTTTTATGGTCGAAGGACCTCTTTGTAGGATACAAGACGGATTATATATGATGCATGATGAGTACAGAAAATATCAACCTGACATGTACCAGCACAGCATACTCTTCTCTCGGTACCAAATTTGGCACATTTCAAAATTTCATTACTGATAGTGATTATTTAGTAACTTTTGGTATTAACTTGACTTGTGATTATCAGGATATAGCATGTCCACCATAACTTGCTTTGTGATTACAAACCAATAGATACCAACTCCTAACTGCAAGGTCCACAGTGAAAAGGCAAAGTTTAGGTAAAGTAGGGGATTTCAAGACCAATATCACTAGAACATCTTCCAGGCTTCCAGCTTTCTTCTTTGATAATGATTACTTAGTAACTTTCGGTATTAACCTGTTTAATGGTCACCACTCACAGCTCAATGCCTCCACCATAACTTGTTTTGTGGTCATTATGGTAGAAACCAATGAAAAGGATAACATTTAATTCAGGTAAACTACAAGGTATCAAGGCCAACAGCACAGTTGTGTACAACATTGTTGCAAATCAGTACACAGGAAGGAACCACGAAGCTTATCGTTAGGTTTCTGAAAACTCGTTCCTGAAGTTTAATCTTAAGTTTTAACTAAGACATGCATTCCTACGTGAGCATGAAAAGCACATGTGTAGCATATGCTGCCAATATAATAATGATATTTGCGCAGAACACCCTATGGCCCAATGTCAAGCAACAAATCTGCAATAGTGTGCAAAAGAACATGCACTTACTTCACTTAGGTCATCACTAATTGTTCAACTGTATGATAAATAGAATTCTAAAAGGGCACGGAAAATGGTCCTGAGTGCTTCATTTATCTATGAGACAATGTAAACGATCTTTACTCTTTAGCAAAGTGATCTATATTGAATTAGTCAACACAAACATTTCAGACTATCATACTGCTAATTGCCACAAATGATATTGCAAACTCACCTCAAATATGTTCGCATTTTCAGTGCCCCAACAACATCTGATCTCACAATCTGCCCATTGCTATTAACAAGAATGTTAACACTCTCCACTACATCCAAGAACACCTGGAAAAGCAGGGATTCGGTACTTCGTCAAGTACAACCAAAGCCTTTCCGACCACATAAAAAGAGTGAGCAAAGATAAATCAACCTACTTCGTTCTTTTTGTACCGAATCCCCTCACTCCTCCATGAGACAGCATTTGTCACAGCCATCGGTGGCCTCTGTGAGACCTCCATCTTGTATGCATCTGTCTTGATGAACTCGCTTAAAATCTTTGCCTCGGTGTATTGTGGATACCCAAAATCCATCATCTCATCAAGCAACTCATACTACATTTAGAAGATACAGAAAGATCATGTGTCAAAGCACAACAATTACCAGCAAACTTGAAAACAACTGGCGCGTCATGCCCCCCAACCCCAATTCCTATCACAAACAGTTACATACCACGACGACAAAGTTATCTCTGAGTGATTCCTCCTCCAATTCCTCGAAATAGTGCTTGAACACCTACACACACAGGGCGTACAAAGCACGTGAACATATTAGACGCTCAAATTCCCAATGTGCCGCTTGCGAATATGAGGCGGGCATTTATACATCGACGACGCGGTGGAGGAATAGGAGGATGCTAGCGGCGTTGCAGTTTTGGCGGGAGGCGGTGAGGAGGAAAATATTGTTATGCTGTATAAACATGTAGGTGACGCCCGCGTCGTCGTAGACCACCGGCGAGTACGCCTCCGCATCGCCCTGTCGATCACAACAACTTAGTGCGAAGCCGCGGCAAGGATCCTAATAGCACTGCAATAGAGGCGTTGAGGATTGCGAGGGGGGGTAGGTTGCTACCTCCTTGTCGAGGAGCTTGGTGAAGAAGCGCTCGGCCTGGACGGCGGTGACGTCGCCGCGGAAGTCGCGCCAGACGAGGACGCGGCCCTTGATGTCCAGCAGGAACAGCGCCGACACCGCGCCGGCCATCGGCGCTAAGCGCGGTGGGATCTCAGTCGCTCGCCGGATCTAGATCGTCCTGCCGACGGACATGTGGGGCGGTAGCCGCGGCCGGGCGAGAGGGGCTCGCCGGATCCCGGCGGTGAGTTGGCGCGGATCGGGGTCGGGGTGCGGGGATCGTGGGGAGTCGGAAATGGAGGGGGTGACGAGGGGGAGGGCAGCCGAGCCGGGCAGGGTCCGGTTGGTTTTCCTCTGTTCCACAGTACGCTGCCTGTCTCGGCCGGTATGGTTCTGTATCAGTTGCCTCTTTTTTGGACAGCGCACGACGTTGGAGAGTTTCCCCCGTTTTTTTATTAATACTCTCTCCGTTCGAAAATACTTGTCAAATAAATAAATAAAAATGAATGTATCTAAAACTAAAATATATCTAGATATATTCATTTCTCCGACAAGTATTTCTGAACGGATGGAGTATTAAATAAAACAACCACACCAAGTATGCAACCACAACAAGATTTAAGGTTCACAGGTTCAAAAGAAAAGCAAAGAGAGTGCAATAGGGACCAAATAAGTCAAATTGAGGGCACACAAAACAAACCCCTACAAGTAACCGCGCTAGCTAAGATACCACCCTTTATATGTTACATGATACCATTTTTCAAAAATCACATTTAGATGTTTGAAAAAAATATGGATGTTCACAAGACAAATGTCTACAACCCCTAAAAATATCTGATCCAAATTTGAAATACCTATTGAGAAACAAAAAAGACAAATCTTGAATGAATAGTGGCAAAAGAAAACAAAACATGAACAATGTCAGAAATGACACTATTCACATACAGATTTGTCTTTTTTGTTTCTCAATGTACATTTGGAATTTTGATCTGATTTTTTTAGAGGTTATAGACATATGTCTTGTGAACATCCATAATTTTTTCAGAATTTTTTGAAAGATCTAAATGTGACTTTTTAAAACTTGTAGCATGGGAGCATGTAATAGGTGGTATCATCTGATATCCACCCCATTGGACTACAACGTTTCTTTTCTTGAGAAAAATAGAGTGTGGGCAACCACATTTTGAAGTTGTACTATCATTGTATGGTTAGATATATGGGGTGATTCCATGCTTCTTCAACCAGGAGGAGGGCGCTTGTCGTAACTTGCAGATTAAGCCCATTGGAAGAAAAGGGTCCACCAAGTTTGGGCAACAGGAGCCAGGAGGCGACCACTAGGCAAACCTGGAGATAGGGTTAGGGTTTTATTGACGAGGGTGGTGAGATTGTGGTGGTATCTAGGGTGGCGACAATGCTACCTTGGGCACGGATCAAAGGGTATGTATCTCGTCAAGGGCAGAGCTATAGCGGGAAGACTGATGGAAAGACAGCGGCAACAAGCCAAAAGAAGATGACTACACCGGCGGCACGCACGTCGGTGGATCAGCTAGTCGGGAATCGTCAAAATCTTCGGTAGAGAGCAAAACATTGGATCCTGCTACTAGTCTTTCGGCGAGGCTAGGAAGTATGGTGTTGATGGACAAGAAAGCATAGGGCTTCATCTTTGTGGAACTAGAACCGGTGTTTCCCAAGAATTCTAGATGGTCAACGGGTGGCAAAGTGCTCATCATGACCACTTAACATTCATGTAATGGAGACCACCATGCAGTGTGCTTGGGTTCTTCACAGGGAGGCGCAATTCAAATATCTTGGCACACATATTTTCTTGGTGCACTTTGGAAGTGAAGGAGATTGGAAGCATGCGATGAACAACGGGCAATATGATTTCAACTTGATGACCCTAAAGGACTATGAGGGTAATACAATGCCCTTTGAGATATTTTTGACAAGGTTGAGATTTGGGTTTGAGTAACTGATTTGCCACTGGATAAGAGGCTCGATACGCTTGGCAAAGCTCTGGGTAATTGGCTCGGAGAGGTTGTGAAAGTGGACACGGACAAGGATGGTGTAGCCAGGGGAAAACACCTTAGAGTTCGTGCAAAAATTTAAGTCTATGAGCCACTCATTAGGGGTTTCTATCTCAAATCTTCACGGCAGGATAAAGTGGGTACTTAGGTTTGATTTTTACTACGAAAAATACCACACTTCTACTTTGAGTGTGGTAGGCTGGTACATGAGGGTGGTGTTTGTGGTCCACTGGTTGATTCATAGTCATAGTGGGGAGAATGGTTGTGAGCTTTGCTGGGAAGAAAGAACACTGCCAAGGAGGGATCTCATGGCGGAGGGGCTAGCAACAACAACAGCTATGGCAGTAACCATACTGGTGACAATGCTAGAGGGCGCCACAGACAGCCGAGAGTGTGAGATCTCCCCTCCAAACGAATTTTGAATCCTGAGTTCTCCCAGACTGCCGAATCCCGCACTGGCACTGTTAAAGGCGAGGGTGTCCCTATCTTTCGATGAATGATAGCTATCGATTTGGTGGAGTCAACTTTGACGATTCGACTACAAACGTGTAGGACGTTGCAACCTAGCAATCGCTAGACCAATCTCCTGAGGTTACTGATGATGCTGGAAACACGTTCAGCCTGACCACGAAGGTCGATTTCTGCACGCAAACGAAGAACAAGCAAGAATATGATAAAAACAATCTGAATATTGCGAATATAGATGAAGTTTGATAAATGTGGGGATCCGAAAGTGGTCTTGGTATGGTCGTTGGACACAAACGAAGTACACGAAGTTGTAATGGCTAACTTTTAACTAAACATGTCCCAAAGAAAAATCTACTAGATTGATCTACTTATATAGGAGCCAGGGGTGGCGGCCAAGGAGGTGGGAGGACATCCCAAGGCAGCCTAAAACTAATCCTAGGTCGTACAAGACTCATGGGCCCAAGTAGAGGTGATGCAACACCTTTGGACTTGTAGTTTGACTCGGATTTTGCTGCAGCGTCAGATTGTTTCGTCAACATCTCAACGCCCCAGACGAATTTGAAGGTGAATCCAATTGGGTTGGAAAGTGCACGAAATAAACTTTGCAACAAAAAAAGAACCACCCAATTTGAAGACCGGATGTAAGAGATCTTGACATTTTGAGTCAGGTTTGTCTATGTAGTCCGAATCTGAGTCCAGAACGTGTGAGACTTTGATTCTATTTTCTCTTGACCCAAAAGAGACGTGAGAGGACTTTTTGAACAACACCTAAACTTATCTTTTTCCCCTTTTCTTCATATGTGGATTGTACAAATGTCCCATAGACATGCAATTAGACATAGCACAAAAGTCTGTCAAGTATTTTTGTCCTGGATAATATAAATAAATTATTGCATAGTTTACATTAAAATTCACCTCATAAATATGCACGTATGCAATATTTTTGATCATATCCAAGATAGCCATGTCCTCATCAGGCACGGAGTTGAGGTTCTTAGCCCAAACAAGGGTCGTAACAGACGTGAAATTCCTAGAGAAAAGGATCCAAGGCATGGCCTTGAGCAGAAGAAAAAAAGAGAGCTTAGAAACAAATGTTTTGAGTTTGAACATCAAAGAAAGCGCGATGGTTATTGGGATAGCAACTAGAAACGGAAGGGCAAGGACAATGCGGGCACTTCTTACAAGAAGCATTACGGAAAGGCACGAATTAGGGGAACATATGTGACAAGACGAAGGAGGGAAGACGGCGACCAACAATACATGAGCTCAGCCAATTATGGTAAACCTCTCGAAAGGGAAATAAAACCCAAACAATTGTGGTTACCTAAAGATGACCCTAACAGGTTATTCATGATACTTCCATTGGTGATAAAAGGCAAAAGAACTGTCTTTTTGAGTGTATCGTTGATACAAATGATAAGACTGTCGAGGCCAATGAATATCCTAGTCTTGAGCTATTCAGGATTGTGATTGGACTCGACAGTTGACAAACTTCGTGGGACGTACCCATGACCCAGTATTGATTTTGTGTGTGTGTGTGTGTGACACAAAGAAAAAGACACATGTAATGAAGAATCTCAAGTGAAGCCTAAGGTTGGTCGTAATGGTAGTATCATAGCTAGTATCAGGCTGGTCATAATGGGCAAGAACATAGTCTAGTAACTTACACACTTCCCTAGACTATGTTACTACCTCCACAGTGGGTAGGAACATCTATGTAGTGTCATGCAACAATGTATTTATTAGGTTATAGACTCATTGTTTCTTGGAGTGTGTGATGTTCCGGTATCTTAGCTAGTTACCACAAGCACCTCTCTCTTCATTAAATATGTGACACATAAGCAAAGTTGTATTGGAGTGTGTGATGTTACTCCTAAGTTCCTCCCCATTGTGACCAGCCTCATGCATGCTAACTAGACAATTTTGATGAGGTGTCATAGCGTTAAATGAAGAAAGAGAGGATGAAGTATCATATCATGATACCGTATCATAATAAATGATATGCTACTTTGTGTTATGCATGTCAATAAATAAAGCACTACATGATACTAATATATGATATTACTATGCATTAGAGAGGTAGTATCATACAGTAGTATCATATGCATGATACTAGTATATGATACTCCCCATTACAACCAGTCTAACGTTTAGAAGTGATGTGGCGATGGATTGTGATGGTCTGAGCGGTGGACTCGGTCTTCTATGGTGGAGAGACAATGTCCAAGTAATAGTGAGACCTGTCAGTATTTCTTAGATGCAGGAGCTGGTTGTGGATGGCAAAATCTACACCGATTTCTACGGGGAGCAAAAAACTGAATTTGGGAAATCCCGGGACTGGTTTCTACGGGGAGCCAAAAACTGAACTTAGGAAATCCTGGGATGCAATTCGTTACTCAAGGGTACAACCACATTCTTTAGGCAATGCCCTGAACAACAGTTTCTTGGGCACGACCACGCTTTTTCCAACACACTCCGGACACAGCAAAATTCATCACTACAAAAGGAGTATGTTAGATAGATGCGCTAAGAACACACTCCTCCCCTTCCACAGTTGCAAGGACAATTTGGAACGACAGAAACACTCGTATCTTCCGCCACAAGAGTGCGCCGCCGCCAATCCTCCTGAAAGCAATC